TACATATATTATATAAAATTGTATATATATTTTTTTACATCTTATAAAAAAATGGACAGTTATAAAATTATAGTTACTATTTAAATAACAATAATAAATCATTAAATTTTTTCAATTTAACATTACCTTGTAATCAATTTATAAAAATTAATCAAATTGTATAACAAAGCTTCGTTAATCCACACTTTGAATCACTTCAAAAAGCGAATGTGCTAGCTCGAGTGAAACTCAATATCATATAAGACATACTGCATGCATTTATTGACTCATATATACTTCATCAAAGTTCAAAGTTTTCATCGATAACCCCGCATATAATGTGTAAGCGACAAATATATTATGTGTAACATCAGCATGTTTTGGAATATAGTGATCGATTATACTTCGTTTCTCGACATTCTATAGATACCAGATAAATAAATCTTCCTTATGAATATTATGCAATAAATATATCAATGTAACGTGAAGACAAATAAGATAATTTGCAATAAATTAAAAATACATCTTATATATAAAAATTAAATAAAAATATCAAATAATTGTTCGTAATTTTTATGTGTTGAAATCCGTCATAATATTTATATAATTTTCTTTTGTGTCTGATATTATCGCACGTATATCAGATAATAAGTTACAAACAAAAATAATTCTTTATTTCTAGAAAGAAAATTATATCGGTAAATAGGAAAAAGAACTTGAGAAAATTAATTACAAAAGTGCGAAAAAATAAAAAATATTTTATATGTATAATTATATCGAATAAATATTAATTTACAATAATGTAGAGAAAATTTGTTCAAATTTTTTTTTTTTTTTTTTTACAATGAAAAAAATTTGGTATGTATTTTATTTTCAAATTTGAAAATATTTAATCGTGTTAAGCTAAATACAAATCTATATTAAAATTTTTTCAAATTTAACATTCATATAAAACTTTAAAGAACAGTTTTTTTTATGACTCTCTATATCAGAGAATTCGAAAATTATATTTCATTGAATAATATATAAATCAACGCTTTTTTCTATTTTTTTTTTTTGACAATGAAAAAAATTTGATATGTATTTTATTTTCAAATTTGAAAATATTTAATCGTGTTAGGCTAAATACAAATCTATATTAAAATTTTTTCAAATTTAACTTATTCATATGAAACTTTAAAGAACAGTTTTTTTATGACTCTCTATATCAGAGAATTCGAAAATTATATTTCATTGAATAATATATAAATCAACGCTTTTTTCTATTTCATGCCATTTCACGTCCGTTCAATCATAGCACTGTCAAAGTGTTAATCAAGACACTCAGGAAAGTACATAGAAGCATTTTGTAACGACGAGATCATTATACGATTCAAGTTATCAGAGACACCATAGGATCCGTAGTCAGTGATAAATATCGATGCGCGACTTTATTAATTTAACATAATAAAACATCTACGTATGTATTTTCTCAGATATCACGTTCGATAAAATAAAAATTGAGCGATCGACTTTTCTAAAGCCGATTTAATCTGATAAGAATATATAATTATTAATATATAATTGTTAATCACAGAGGCAATTGTTAGGCGCAGCAAACGTCGCTTTTGCCGCGACGCGCGCAAGATTTTAACGAAACGATTTTTACTTACTCGCTCCGGTATGCGATACGAGGTTGAAAGATGTATACCTCTGCGACATGGAGGGCCACAGACGTTTGGGACATGTCCTTGATCAGCGAAATTCTTTATATAGTGGCTTCGGGCCCGTAGCAGGTTCTCGACCAATTGAAAACCGCGGCGATTCAAACTCAACCAATTCCTGGCCATCATCGCGCATGTACTGACGGTGATCAGCTGAGACCGAAAGCGTGCGTGCGTACGTTCGCTGCACGTGATGTAACTAAGTTTTACGCGTGATTTCGTGTCTTCTTAACACGTTTTTGCCTCGTCAGTCACGCGAGTCGATATGTGCGATTTCTGTTTACAAATTCAAAGCACACTTCGCGACGCGTGATACTACGTCCAACGGACGGAAATCCAAAAAGAATAAGAGCCAAAGCACAATACTCGGTTTCTTTCTTTCTTCTTTTTTCTTTGTTGGATTACCGTCCTCCTAGACGCAGTATCATGTGTGTTATACGTGATTTTATAATATTCGGTTTATTGATTTCGACCACTGTGTTTCAGAAATAATCTGGTCATGCATATTGTGGTACTAAATGAAGCATCAGCTGAGCGCAAAAAGTGCGCATGTGTTTCATAACGTCATGAGCGCGCCAATGTTGAACGATTATAGTATTTTAAATACTTTTTATTTTTCTTTTTAATATTTTTCACAACTTTTTCGACAAATTTTAAAAGGATTAATGTTTAAGAAATATTATTTTTTTATTTATGTATCTCTTACTTTCGTAGTTATATCTTAATATTTTCAATTCTCTCTCTCTCTCTCTCTTTCTTAAAAATAAAAAGCAGATCTTGTACATAAATTTTGTTGTATGTAATTTTCTCTCTAATCTGTATCTTTATATTTATATTTTTATTTTATGATACCATTTTATGATTTTTATTTTTTTTCTCTTATTATGTTTTATTACACATAATATCACACACCAATCTTTACTTCTAAAACGGTTAAAATATCGTATATTCTAAATTATATTATTACATCATCAATTCTATATACCGGTAAGATTTTGTGACACGATAAAACACCTTCAACTTTCAATTAATCTCTGAGTCTCTGATGCATATTTGCATATACAACAACAAAATATATTAAAATTCTCTATAAGGTTCACGGTTAAATACTTAAATCACGAGAACCGTATCTTCATTATGTTAAAAAAGAAATGTTCACACGTAATGTGGAATTCGCGCGAATAATAATTTGAAGCGAGTTCTAATCGCAAAACGGATTGTTTCGACGGCGGACAAGTTGTAGACTAGTAAAGGCGAATCACGGAATTTGAAAGTGAGTGAACGATCGATGACTTTTTCTTGTTTTGCCTGGACCGCTATACACCGGCCAGTCTAGTTTTTATCAAGATAGACATCCGAATGCTTTCCCTTATCACACATGCTTGGCGTCTCTCGACGCGATATTGCTGTTACTAACTCTTATCGCACGATAATTTTAATTTGTTTTTGTTTTGAGACATTTTTTTCACTTCCTAAACATATATACATGTAATGAAATATTTGCAGTAAAAATTTAATCTTAAATAATTTTTTAGAAAAAAGAAGGATGCAATGTACTTTACATTGTAAAATGAAACAAACAATTGAATGGAACTGTGGAATCGCCTACACAATTATTAACTTTTTTCTTTTTAATTTTATCATGCAAGAACAGTGTCAATATTTGCATGTCTGTTTATAGTTTCGCATTCGAAATGGTATCGGTTTGAAAGTGTATAACAAATATATAACGATAATCGCAATGAAGAGAAAGCTAAAATACAATTACGAAAGTAATAGAGATGATATCTCCCCTACAAAGTGCAAAGTCCAAAGTAATTAAGAAACTATATTGAGGAACGAGGCAACATCTCATCAGTGAACAAGATAATGGTATCTATTGAAAGGGAGAAAAAGATGATAGAAAGAGTGATCAGATATTCCCATGTAAATAAAGAATAAGATGAAGGGGCGCTCTCTCTCTCTCTCTCTCTCTCTCTCTCTATGAAAGACGATTCCTTAAAGCTACCATGAGAGAAAAGAGAATCAAGAGAAAGTTGATTTAAAGAAGAAAGACTGATAACATTATTATATCCTAATATAAAATAAATAATTAATTAAGAAGATGGAAATAATAGGAGGAGAATATCGTGAGAGATACGCTGTCATGTTTCAAAATATAGCATCATTAAAAAAAATACACTCTGTGTTTTATCAAGAGAGAAATGAAATGAATTTTGTCGCACGCAATAACTCGTCACGTTGATAACACGTCTCATTACGCTCCGGTCTTTCACCTCGATTTTGCAAAATAAGCATTTACTTGTGACGCAATATGTATTGATGTAACGATGTAATCGAATGTGGAGAGAACACAATGATGAGTACGTCGGAATTCAGCCGAAGAAACTCCCAAGTAGAAAAATGTCCAAAAACTGATTTCAAGTCAGAAACTGATTACAGAACACTGGTCAGTTTTTATTATTTTCAATTTACTGAACGGTAACTGCTTAACGACCGAGTAAAAATATATGCTTAGATAAAATCCTATTTAGATAGTAGCTACTAATCAGTACATAGATATAATTTTATTTTTTAATAATTTTTTATCATTAATTAGCTGATACTGTGAAAAAAAGCAGTTTTCTGAACAAAAATAGCCAGAAACCAATCAGGTCACACAAATCAATAAATGATAACTGCTTTATGTCTAGCAAGAACTCAGAACATGCTAGTTATTATATTCTAAACTCATACGAAACAAACTGATCCATATAAAGACAACCAAAACTCACAATATTCTGGCTATTATTTTCTGATCAAGAGAATATTGAGATTACTAGTTACAGTTTGGCATATTTCCTTCGGAAATAATACGTGTGATTTCTTTTGGAATACCATAAATCTTTATAAATCTGACATGAGAATTAAAAGTGTATAAGAAAGATTGATACATCCGCACAGTGATGCATTTAATTTCTTAATGTGCTCTTTTCATCGTGATTGTAGAATGGCAATGTGGTACTGAAGCAAAAACAACTTAATCAACTATACGAGAATTCCCAATCTAATGTTAGAGAAAGTTGAATTAATAATATGCTTGCATATGTAGTGCTCTTTGCAGTTGCTAATGTTCCAAAACATAATTTTTTCACCAGCTTATTATACATAACAGTTAAATATATTCGAATTTATTTAGCACACAAACTTGGAGTATATAGTCGAATTCTTTTATTCATAACCAATATCTCTATCCTTAATCAACCAATATATCCTATAAACTCAACTTCATTGTTTTTTCACCATTTCACATTATCACACATTGAACTATCTTTACATGTTAGCTTGACATTACGTATTGTCAATATCTAATAGATGATACAAACGGAAAAAGAAATATCTTCATAATATGCGTAACAAACGTAATATTGAATATAATAACACATTCATTTGTATTGCTTTTATTATTATTTTTCTTTATGCATACCTGGGAAAGATCTCTTTGAAAGACGTTTTTGACTTCTTGAGGAATATCCTCTTTTTTGACTTCTTGCAAAACGTTTTCCAGCTCTGAATTTTTTATGTAAACCAGCATATAAGCATTAATGCAATATTTCACAGTCAGGCAAGTATCCTTGCCTTGACCACCATAATTGTGTTCGATAGCTTCCTGCTTTGTACACCGCGAGACAACATCATCGTCGAACTTGTACCACTGCCATGGAACAGATGGAGCAAAATCTTTCAATGTCATTTATAATATTATTATATAATATATTAATGTAATAAATTAAGAAATTAATAAGAAAAATTGATACTAATGTAATATTGAAATCATGTAATTATCTTTGAAAGAAATGCATAAGCAAGATAATATATGATTATTCTGCGTAGTATGCCTTTAAAAACTTAAAAAGAATTTTTTTTAGACTTTATAAAAAAAATAACATTTTGTAAATACCAAAGATGTAAATATATATGGCTGTGAAGGACATTAATTTATTGTTTTGATCAGAATATAAAAATAACTAGTTGCTAAAATTTAAATATAGAATTCAAAATATAGATAGTTATAGAATTGTGTGTGTGTGTGATATGTATACATAAAATATATTAAGAGAATGAAAGAGATTTATATGTATTTAATTACGATAGATGTCAAAACATATATTTTACTTACCTTGCCATTACCAGCAGGATTAATAAATACAACATAGTATCCACCATGATTTTCACTATGAGCCAGAACTGCATATAATGTGTAATCTGCACTTGTTTCTTTGTTTTGCAGATATTTGCCAAGACTAATCTCTTCATAAAATTCAAACCTTAAAAGATAAGTTTACATAACTACTTACACGAGAAATATGAAATAAGATTGATATTTTAGATTTTATAGAAGTTTATATCTTTGTTTTTTAAATATAACTAAAAGGATTATAGGCTATAATTATGGTATATAAATATATACTATCTAACTTAATAAATTGATATAAACTCTGATAAGTTTCAATTTTTTACCTGTCATTACATTTGACAGAACAATCTGTAACTGGATCATACTGGAAACGCATTAAATGTAAATGTAAAACTGGTGGAAATGAAGAAAAGATTACACCCTTTTCTGTTTCTTGTAATCCATGTTCTTCCATGTCGCATTCATTATCGCTGTCGAGACTTCCTGTATTCATATAGTCGCTAAAAGACTCGTAAACTGAAATATAAAAAGATCTATCCATATCTCATCACTTATGTATCACATACTTATGTATCACTTATGTATCACAAAAACATGATGTCCAATATTTACTGTTCTTCTTGTCCTTTATATTTAACTGTATGTCATAAAATGTTTCATCGCTTGTGTATTTATACTCCATGTTTTTGAACTTGATAAATGGGACCATTTTTCCCTCAAACAATTTTGGCACTGTACCTTCTATGCACGTTCCTTTCATTTTGCTCTCCAGCTTACCTAATAGCTAAAAATGTACAAGAATAGTTTATATGTATGTATTAATATAGTACAACAGATAGTTTATAGAGTGGCAATGCAATAAAGTATGTAATGTATTTACCATGCGTAGAAATTTCCGGACATCATCATGCTGTCTGAAAGAATCCAGCGTTTCCCTTCCAAAACTTTCAGTTAATATCTTTGTACTGACAGATTTGTCAGAAAATTGTAATTCGTAAAAAATCCTTTGCAAGGCTAGCACAACAGTCTTACTCAAATCATCGCTTTTTGTTGGTATTTTATACACTGCTTTTCGCAACTAGAAAGAAAATACATTATAAAAGATATATTAAAACAATAGGAATATTACATTTCCCAAGTTCACATTTTACCAACCTGGTTTGTGAAATACATAGTTTGTAATAAAGAATTCATGTAACATATAGCACCTTGATTCTTCAATCCTACATATCCTGTGTGTCTTTTACTGTCCAAACTGACTCCATGGGGTATATCAGCCACTATATAAACCTAAACAAATAAACAAATTACAAACAATAAATATTTAAAAAATCATATATGATATAAACAAATTTCTTTGCAAAAAAATTAATTATACTATTTCAGCAATAATTAAAATGCTAAATATAAATAGCTAAAATAAGGAATCATGAAAAAAAATCACAACAATACTTCAAAAATATTTAGTTATTAATAAAGATATGTTGCAAACCTCAAGCGTGATTGAATCATCTTTGATAAAACCTTTTTCAGGATCTAAAACATCCTCCCATGTCATGAAATCTTGAAAGCCCCAATCATCCTCTTCAGTATAAAAGAGATGTTGTATTTCTATAAAAATATAAATTATATTATTGCAAGAAAAAATGTCCTTTTCGATCAAGATTAAGTTTATGATATATGTTAAAATAAGAAAATTAAAGAACAAGAATTGTATTTACCTCTGCTAAATGGCTTTTGTCCTTCTTTACAAGAAAGGAGGCGTAACTCAGCGACAGCATAACAACTCCATGATATTGATTTACTTTCTTTATTACATTGAAGATAAAATGCAAGTGATTTCTTCAGCTCTCTTGACTTTGTCTGCACTATTATTTTCCATGGTAAATTGTGAACATAACATGCAGGTGATAATTGTGGATTTTCCATTTTGGATACATTCTCAACAGTATATCGAAAAGTCGCTTCGGACGCAGCCTCATCTAAAAAAAACAAAAACAAACATGGAGTGTATAATATATGAAGAAAAGAATTTTCATCAAGATATTAGGTTTGTTCGCGTTGCTTGAACTTTTTGCTGGCACTAACGGTTCCGGCATAAATTAACAGTTACGGCCTGCATAAATCAGCCTTTAGAGTTAGATGAACCGGGTAGATCCCAGTTGCACACAGTGTTCTCAACCTAAAAGAGGGCGTTTTTGGTACCAGGGCCGTAAAATTATGGTACATTGAAAAAAACTATGGTACATTTTCGTAAAAATGTTTTTCATGTGCGGGAAACTTTGTTAATATGTGAGCGTTGTATTGTTATAATCTTAGAAAAATTGATTTAACTTGCTTATCAAAGTGTCTGTAAATGTTTTTCGACATTTAAATATTTGTCGATTTCACTTAATATTTCCCATTAATAGTATAATAATATGTAAACAAATATTGCCAATGTCTATTCCTTTTAAAAATGATATTTGTAAACATTCCATATGAATTTTATACAACATTAGATGGAATGTATTTAAGCTTTTGCATAAGTAGAATAACTATTTTATAAGTTTATAATAAGTCAATGTATTAACTACAAGTGGAATTTATCTTGTCACAAATGTATTTGTAATTTTGACAAGTCTGTAATTTTGGTGCTCGCAGATTGAAGGATAATCTTGTGAAAAAGATATTAATATAATATATTCCATAATTTATTAGTTTTTCTTCACTTTCTTTTTTGTTTGTGCACAATTATCAAGAGAAAATAATAGTATATGGTGGTAGATTTTACATATATTTTGTATTAAAAAATACAATTATTTGTTTTGAAGATTGAACATACAAAAGTACAATTATTTATTTTAAAAATAATTAAACTTTGGAGAACCATTCAATATACATATATTCCTATATCGAATCTAAAAGATGTATTTGTTAAGTGAGAGCGCTCGTTCGATGATTGCACAATTTATTAAATTTCCCGAATGCAACCATTATGCACGCGCGCGGTGACATATACGCCACGCAGCACGCAGTGCGCGTAAAATTCTATGTCGTCATCGCATTATCGCAACCGTCCGACAATTCACATTATCGAGCGGATAAAGAAGGAGATATTAACGGAAAAGGGAAAATTTCGTGGTTCATTGCTTGATCCCGTCGAAAAATTTATTCCGATCGAAGATATAGTACATATTATTGTGGTGATCAGTGTGTGCGTGTGTATATGTGACAAGCGTGGATTCACGTATTTGCTGAGTGCTTTTAATTGACGAACATGCATCGATGCTCCGATGGTCATCTTTGCCATCTCCATCGATGGCATATGTACGAAATGTCAATATTTGGAGGTGAGTCGTTTTTCGTGCAAGCGAGTGTTTAGTGCTTCATCAATTTCGAAAATCAGACCACGATCGAAAGCGCGCCTCGCGTCAAACGACTCTCTCGTTGGAGACAGCTGGAGGTCAGCTGGGGTACCGTTCTCTCAATCGGCTACGTGTCAAAAGTCAAGAATTCTCTTGTGGAGACTTCTTGATAAAGGAATTACAATTTTAAATAGAGATTAAATTCAAAGCGTATAAACGGTAAATTACTACTGAATATTCCGAAGAAAACGGAACTCTGTGTCGTGACGAGATAACCAAGCTGATAGCGACCCGATAGATTGGTTGTGTAAACACAATGATCAGTCATGAACCGCGATTTGATTATATTTCATAGACGGTTATTCATTCGGTGAGGAAAAGTATGATAATCGTTCTTTTTGAATTCACAAAAAATATCTTAGGTTTTCTAGATGAAAATATTGAATTTAGATTAATGCTCTGTAACTCTGTAAGATTAGACAAAAATAAACCTTTACCATTGAACAGTATAATTCGGAAAAATCAGAAAAGTATAATAGTGACTTCGAGTATCTTAAAATCATAGAACGCCGCAACGATTACCGCGCGGTAAAAAGTGATGGCTCTCGCACCAGTGTTGCCAAAATGCTCTGTAACTCTGTAAGATTAGACAAAAATATATATGCGATTGTGAGGAATAAATATGTATATATATATATGTGTGTAGTTCATAGAAATTACCGTAATAATAGAAGATATAAATTCTAGGTATTGAGAGAGAGAGAGAGAAGTGTCTCCTTATCTAAATACATATATATATATGTGTAGTTCACACACATAGAAATTACCGTAATAATAGAAGATATAAATTCTAGGTATTGAAGTGTCTCCTTATCTAAATACGATGTGTTGTATGATAAGATCTGTGGTATAAGCAGGAGGAACTTTGCAATGATTCACTTTAAGAAATATAATTGGAATTATGTAGAGTGATGCCAAGAGATAATATTACACAGCTTACTTAGTCGTAAAGTGTATTATAAAAAAAACAGCAATGGGTTCCATTGCTCTAGAGGAGTACGAGTTAATGAAGGACTCGAAGTATCGAGTGTAAGTAAAATGTAATAATGAATATAAATTACCATTTAAGATTCTACAAACTTCAACGATTATAATTTCTATGTATTACAAAAACTACTAATATTTTCCTACTCCATAGTTTTAATTGAAAAGTTTATTGTAAAATATTGTATTTGTTATATAGCTATGTGAATGCTGTTGATAAGGCTCTAAAAAGCTTTGAATATACGAGCGAATGGGCAGATCTAATTTCTGCATTAGGAAAGCTTAACAAAGTGCTGCTAAGTCATATGAAGTTTCCTGTTATTCCAAGGAGAATTAAAATATCAAAAAGATTAGCCCAATGCATGCATCCAGCATTACCATCTGGTGTTCATTTGAAAGCTTTAGAAACGTATGACATTATTTTTAAGTGTATGGGCACTAATAGACTCAGCCATGAGCTATTTATCTATAGCGCAGGTACATATGTATATGTGTTGAGTAAAAGAAAAGAAAATAATCACACAGACAATTTTAAGTCATTCTATATGTTGATCTATCTCTTTAATAGGACTGTTTCCATTATTGGGTCATGCTGCTATGAATGTCAGACCGTCATTATTAACAGTATATGAGACACACTTTGTGCCACTTGGCGAAAGGTTGAGACCAGGATTAAGCGGTTTTTTAAGCGGTGTCCTTTTAGGTTTAGAAGATGGATCTGATCATTTTGACAGGTTATTACATTATTGACATTTTGTATGTGAGGCTATTAAACATTTTTTTCATATATTAATTTTTTTTTAAATATAGTATTTGTGAATTTATGCATAAATAATTCATACTGCACATAGAAAAATATTTGTGAGTATATATATTATTTTATCAGAACAAATTCCTTACTGGAGAAAGTATGCGATGGCGTGGGTGCAGAACACTTTTATGCGTGTCTCTGGGATTGTTTAGCTTCAAATTCTGGCATTCGCTTGCCCGCTATATCATTTGTGCTCGCACACTTCAATAAAAAACTGACAATGGAGGAGCAAAAATACATTATGGGTACTAATATTAAAATTATGGTAAGAAAAGAAAGTTTATATTTTGAATATTAGATATATTTTTAAGAATACTAGATCTTTTAATGTTCTGACTTAAATAAATTAGGTATCAGCTTTATGCGCAGGAGTACAAGACACTTCAGTGCTAGTACAAAGAAGTGCACTGGATTTTCTATTAATAGGTTTTCCTATACATAACAGTCAATTGACACATCAAGATATGATATTATTAATCAAAGCTGCTCTAGTTACTATATTGCGAAGAGACATGAGCTTAAATAGGTAAAAGAAAATATAATATATATATATATATATACATGATACTTTCTTCTTTAAAAAATGTCTCATACTTTACTTACTATACATATTTTCTATTGTGTAGACGTTTGTTTGCTTGGTTATTGGGCACTGAAGTAAGTACATCAATTTTAAAGAAGAATCACATAACTGTGAACACTAAGGAGCATTCTGTAACATATTTTGATATATATTCGAAAAAAATGCTAGTCGAAGCAATAAAATATCTGCTTAAAGAAGTGTGTGAAGAAAATTCACAGGATTTAAAGCCATATAGAATACTTATCTCATTACTTGATAAGGTGGATATTGGACCAGTAATTTTGGACGATATTCTATTTGAAGTGTTTAGGTGAGTATGATTTTACAATATGATATGAAAAAAATGATAATTGCTACTAATCATTTTCCTAAAAATATTTTATATCTGTGCATTATATCATAGGACATTTTATAATGCCTGTAAACAATCTGCACTGAATCATATACCAAAAACAAATGAAGTAGTGAAATCTGCGAATCTGTTATTTTCAACTTTGGAACCATCCTACATCTGGATACATTGTGGACATCTATTTGAGAAGGCCTGTAATAAAAGAGCAAAAACACAAGTTACCATAGAAGATGTTATGCCGAATTTAGTGGAAGTATGCATACTAACAGAATTCTTACTCGAAACAGTATCATTGGACGCATTTATAGACACTCCATCTGAGCATCTTCCTGGTTTGTTTTATGAAATAATTAGCAAGCTTTTATATCATATCAATATTTTGTCTTCGATGGAGATCTCGAAAAGTCTCAAATTGTGCGCCAAGATTTTGTCGAAGGTACAACCGACAATGGTAACGACTCACGCGGACAAGTATGAAATAGATACCAAAGTAGACGCTTCTTTGAATAACATTACAGTTCCTAGCGATAATTCCCTAACGGCGATTCCTTTGGAAAAAAGTCAGTCGGATAGTAAGTTGAATAAGGCCGATATATCCGGTACCTCTTTCGCGGAGAAAAGTCCGAGTACGAGAAGAAGAGCTAATTCCGGCGGCGCCGCTAAGAGGAGCGAGAAAAAATCAAAGAAGAAGGGGAGTAAAAGCACTTCCAAGTTAACCGACACGTACACCATACAAGCCGATGGTACCAACATATCGGTCGTAGTGAACGAGGACGCCAAATCTTTACCTAGGAATAAAAGCATGGACGATATTAAAGCGAGCTGCGTCGAAACCGATGCAATAAGCTCTTCCTCGAATAATAAACTGTCCACCACGTCAAAATACATGACGAATGTCAGTCCAATGGGATCGACGGGATCCTTATGTAGGGGACCATCTCCGGCATTTCAGGCACAGCACTCCATGTTAGAAAAGTGCCTTCGTCAATATGAAATATTTTACGTCAAATTAATTAGCAACCGAATACTTAGCAAGGAAAGAACAGTGCAAGATATGTTCAATCATTTGGTGGTGTCTTGCCCAAGAAAGAGTTTCGACGAGAGAATGCGTTGTTTGGAACTTCTGCTGAATTCCAGATTAAATATGGAGGACTCTGGATTCTTTAGTCAAGATGTATCCGTAACAGAGGATACCAAGTGCCTGGATATTTTTCACCTATTTCTCGATATCGTAGCGCATTCGGAATGGAACGAGGCCATGAAAATAGCGTCCAGCTTGTTTGTGGAATTATCCACATTTCCAAAATATTTCTTGACCGGCGACGATGTACTCGTGGAAGAAGAACCCAAATTTGAGCACGTTCTTCCGGATTGGTTAAAAGTTTTAATAGTCTGTTCCTGCTGGTTACAGAAGCAACCGGCGTTACAATTAACGAGCATCGCTACATTATTGGACTTAGTGGCATTATTGAAAGCACATAACGACGTCGAGATACATCCGAAAAGCGGAGAAGGCGTAACGACGGTGATTATGGTGCCGTTGTTGAAACAATGGCACATTACCTACTTGATGCAATACACTAATGTATTTCAGGTATGTAATATCGTCCTCGTAATATTTTTTTATGTTCGACATGTAATTGGCTAAAACAAAATATTAAAAAAATAATCGCTTAATAAAAGGTATTGGCACATTCCTTGTGGCATCATTTGGGCGAGCTTCCCGCTCATAAGTTTAGGATGCGTTGCGTAGAACTGTTGCACGAATTGCATCACGCTTTATACAATTCCTGCGACGCAGTCGAGGATTTAATAGGATCTGCTCTCACCTCCGAGAATCCTGAAAGAAAGATCGAAGCATTCAGTAGATTTGCTACTTTGTGGCATTTAGGACGAGAAATCGAGACGAATCCAAGGTTACGCGGCTGTCTCAGAATTTTTGACCAGTAAGTAAGAAAATTGTGATTTATTTAGTTAATTAATATTACGAATTTCACAAAACAGCTTGTTCCTGTTTTTTGTCTAGATCTTTATTAAAAATGTTGGACAATCTTCAACTTGCGGACAACTCGCCGTTAAAACTATTAGCTCAATCGTGGCTACTACATTCCTTGATGCGCGGCGATATATCGCGTGTAATAGATCCCTTACTGACAATACTTTTAGATCCATCCACATGCCGTATGAGCGTCCTCCACGTTAGTATACAACACAGTAATACCGTCCTAACGAAAAACGATCCGGTGGAGGAAAAATCAGAGGTTCAAGATGACACAGAAGGCGCCGCGAAAATTTATGCGATTAGTTCGGTCGACGGCAATGTGATATATCACGTGAGCGATAACGTGGACGAGGATAAAAAGTGGAAGAAAGGCAAGAAAAAAAAACAGATGATAAATCCCGTGAAAATAAAACGGATTTTTGCCGTAACGACGTTAGCGACTGGTGATAATTGCAATCACTATGTTACGGAAAGAAATCAATTTATGAAAGAACTCGAAGTGCCGCCTAGCATATCTGGCAATCGAAAGATTTCCGTGTTTGTGAATCCTCTCTCGATCAATTGTAATGAAAACTCAAACGATTCCTTGACAGAAGACGATTCGCTGCCCAGTATACGCAAAACAAACTTGACAACGGAATTGCTTAAGAATGCCACCCGCTTCAAAAAGATTGATTTTGATAAAGGTTCCACTGCCAGTTTAGACGAAAGTCTTTTCGAATCGGCAAACTCTAGTTTGAAGGTGAAGGATAAGAGTAGCTTCAAAAAACTAAACGACGACGTCGACTCATCTCTAGATTCTATAACAAATAGCTTGGACTCGAGCAGTCCCGAAGTAACTAATAAACAATCCAAACAGAAAAAAGAACCTGTCGTGATGCCGGGCAGTTCCAGGGAAATAGCGGGCACTATCATAAAAGGCAGATATTACAGTACGAACGAATTTAACACGAATTATGATCATGAAATCGGTAGTTTCGAAGCGAGCGCGGAGGTGCCCAGTTGGACGATGGACGACGACGACGGTGATCTGGACGTCAGCACCACCGCGGAAGAATATTTTAGCAATTCCAGCGCCAGTATAGTCGAAGAGATTTTAAATGAAGTGCTCGATCGCGCAATGCAATTATGCGATATCGCCGAACCGCCGAAAAATGCAAGTATTTTTTATACAATGTTGTCATTTATTTTGTGTCAGAATTGCAATCAGTTGATTTGGCAAAATGATATAAGAATTACAATATTCTTTCAACGAGATTTTCTATTTGCAGGAGGAAGTTCCGCAGCACCCCGCAAAAATTAATCGAAATGTCGGTCTGGGTGTTCACAATCTTCACTCCCACATGTTGCTCTACTGCGGAGTATATGATTCGGTCAGAACCCTTTACGTTTTGCGCACCCTCAGGAACGAACTTTTGACAAATACGCGAATGTTTCTGTGTTGCGCGGCGACGACCGGTGCGGCGAATGCGACGAAGAATACAGTGCTATTAAATCTATTGGCGAGGCATCGGAAAAGTGTTTTCGGCAGAAATTTTCACGGTGATATAGCTAACACGGAATTTATAGCAGCTTATAGGAGTAGTATGTATCTCGAGGTCCTGATAAGCGTGTGTCTGTACTTTGCAAGAAGCTATTATCCAAATCTCGGACAGATGAGGCTTACATATGAAGAAATTGCGGGTAACCGTCAGGTATGTATGTTCTATTTTAAAAAATATTCTTTATCTTTTTAAATATTATTCATGTGTATCTGCAAAGAAACAATTGCAATTTTAAATATTTTATTAAACTTATTAATTTTTTCCTTCTTTTAGTTGATATTGTTTTAACATTGACAAAAATTATTATCTTTTACACAGGTACAACTTGCAAGTGCAGAATTATTAACGCTAATATTTTCCGAGTTAATTCCAATTGTTCGCGATTCTGGGAAAGGTTTCAGTTGCTACATAGTCGACCTGCTGACTAAATGTAAAGTACAAAAGGTTGCTCTACACTGTCTCGTATCCAGTGTTATGAGTATGAAGAACGCTCATAAGGAAAATGAAGACGTTTTCACATTTACCGAAGAAATCGTATTGTTTAACGATCCGTTTATCGATAACGATGTTAACAAATGTAAATATAGAGCGAGCGATCATACGGAAGCTTTCCAGATACAATTATTACGGTAAATATATGCAACAAATTTACAATAGGAATATTTTATACGTCTAATCCATTGTGATTGTGATGAAATTATCCAAAGTTTGCGTTAGTATCAAAATTATATTCAATCACACTCGTGTAATTTAATTTGTATAACAATTACTTTATTATCTTTTAAGATTACTGTTAGCGTTAATTATGTTGGAGCATCAGTGTAGTAGTCAGAAGGGAGAGGAGATTAATCCAACGACATCATCTATGCCAAGTTCACCGACACGGACTCTGCCGAGTTTAATCGGAAACAGTTTGAAATATATTTCTGGGGCAGCGATACCGCAGCAACCAATGTTTCTCGCTAGTATCCTTAGTGCACTGCAACTCGTATGTAATTTGTTTGCGTATCGATATATTATACTGTCAGATTGATCCTATGCTTCTCATGTATACTTTTGCAAAGTACTTTTTAAAATGAATTAAAATGCAATAGATTATGTATATATATAAATTTTTACTTTTTTTAATTTTAATATATATTTATATATATATTATATGATATATATATTCCATTATTATCACACAAAAATTTATTATGTTAATTTTTACTTTTTCAATTCTTTACTATTTCTTTATTTTATTCACATCAGAATTCAATCACAACAAATTATAGAAATACTAAATATGTATATAAAGTCATGGATTGATCTAATTATTAAGCGGAGAATCAATGATCGATTAAACAAATGATTTATGCATTCAATAAAATTTTGTAGAATCATATGAGGCATCTTCATCAACATTGGACAACTCTTGTTACATCCAGTCTTCCTTTTATGGGAGCATCTTTAACATCTGTTGTAACATCAGTTATTCATCAACTGTGCAGTAATATTGAACATCTAGCGTCGTATTATATCAACGAGGGGACAACATCAAAGTTACAAGATATAAGCACGGTAGAATGCTGTTTGCCTGCGGATTACACAGTGACACATCTTGAGGCTTTGACATACTTGCTGCATTATTGTCTATTAGATACCTCTCAACAAATTGGATTCTCGTTTAATCAGCCGCTAAGCGGTACAATACAAACGGGAATTCCTGGTGCTAATCCCGGACAAATTTTCAACAATCTTATACACGTTTTTATGCCGAGTCCACTTTCTCCGGTTAGTTAGATAAAGTATATTCTCCTGTAAATTTTAATATTTAATAGAAATCATCAATTTTAGTTGGTTTCCAGAGTTATAGAAAAGTTTTCATATTTTTCATAGGATCTATCCACAACAAAGGATAAAACTGGCGCAACTGAACTGCAACAACATGCTAGAAGAACAGCATTAAGTCATTTACCGAGAATAATAGCATCTTTATCTGCCTTGTGGCAAGCAGTTCTAGCAACAAAAGACAAGTATGTGAAATGTTTATATTTGTTTATATTTTTTCAAAGAAATTGTTTATATTCATAATGTACTCTTTTTAACAACAATGTACAGCGAACAAGCCAGTTGCGTGGTGGGCAGTCCGAGAATAGTCAAATATCAGTTGTTGGAACTCTTATCCCCAATCTCTTTCCATCATGGAGCCAACTTTCTAGCTGCAGTCGCGGTTGCTTGGCACGAAAGACGTCAACCGTCCGCCGCGTCTAAGAAGGTAATCAACGTTATCTATATAATTAAAGAAAAGGGATAACGAAATTAGAAAAACTAATAATATTATTAGTCTTAAAGAAAATATTTTATTTAGTAAAAATTCGTTTCGATGCAGATACTTCCAGAAGCCTGTCCCAATCAACAAGTAATGGTTCATTTGGTTAGCGCTATTCGCGTTATGCCGATTGACACTTTGGTACACACTGTGCATCAGGTAGTGAAAACACCACCGCCGATACACGGGATCAAACAGGATTTCTCACTAGAAGTCTCAGTACTGGAATTACTTTATATATATATGCAGAGTAACACGTCGCAGTCGCTTATCGAGTCTTGGGCGTCCTTGCTCAGTTTATTGAAAGATGGTTTATCGCTAACAGCACCTGCTCAATTTCTTTTGCTGGCTATACTAAATGAATATGTACAAAAGTGTCCGCCTATGCAAGAAAAGAAAGATATCAAAGACTTGCAAGATGTATCAGCCAAGGTGATTATCTTGTGTTATGCTTTATAATGCCGTATAATTAATAACACAATGATATTAATGTAATATTATAATATTTTACAATATTACATAATACATAAATTTATTTATAATAAATGCGTTTTAGTTGATAGAATCGTGTTCGCAAATAGCTGGCGCATGTCTAGAACAAACAACATGGCTAAGAAGAAATTTGGCTGTTCGAGAAGATGTGTTCGAAGTAGTGGAAGGCTCTTCGGAAGGTAAAGAGGGAAAAAATGGTGCTGGTGCGTAAGATATGCATTTCATTTCGTAGATATCAGATTCAATATTAAATTAAAGAATTTTTAAAGCATAACGCACAAATTCCATTTCTGTTATCAAACTTTATTTGTTTTTATTTTTTAGTTTTTATTTTTTATTTCTTGTTTTTTTATGCTATCTGTGACAATTGCAAATAACTTCTAAATTTTTCTTATGGTATATTCAATGCGAATTTTATCTTGCAGTAACACCTGGAACTCCACCTAATGCGGCATACAGTGTTCAAGCGCAGGCAGTATTAGCGGAAATACTTGCGCCATTGTTGGATGTCAGTTACGGTTCGCTAGAAAAAGAGCGCGTGGTAACGCTGCTAACAAATCTCATGTATAATGTCACACCTTATCTGAAAAATCATACGTGAGTTTAGAAATTGACTGTGAATATAAAAATTTTGTATAAATTTAAGACTCATACGAAAAAATAATATTTTATTTAATTATTTTTACAGTATAAAGAATATCGCCTCATTCACTGCATGTTCTCAATTATTGGCTTCTTTGTCGGGTTATCAATACACGAGAAAAGCATGGCGCAAAGACGTTTTAGACCTGTTACTTGATCCAGCCTTTTTCCAAATGACACCGTCCTGTCTGCCATACTGGAGAACTATAATAGACAATCTGATGACGCATGATAATACTACCTTCAGAGATTTAATGAGTAATGCACACATTCTATCACATTACAATGCGTTTGTTTGTTTATAATCAATATAGAAATTAACATATTACACAATTGTTTCATCAAAAAGATCGCGTGTCTATGGCTCAAGGCAGCGGAATCAGTATATTCTCTTCAAAGGAACAAGAGTATGAGCAGAAAGCACAACTTTTAAAGCGATTGGCATTCGTTATCCTTTGCAGCGAGATGGATCAGTATCATAAATATATGCCAGAGATACAAGGTGAATATATAAAAAGAATATTTATAAAATATATATAGAATATATATAATACATATATAATATCACCTAGTACAACTGTTTCTATTGATTATTTTGCGCTTTCAGAACGTTTAGCAGATAGTCTACGCCTACCTCAAGTGATCCCATCTATCCAGGCACAAGTATTTTTATGTTTTCGCGTATTACTATTAAGAATGTCGCCACAACACGCGACATCCTTGTGGCCAGTCATAGTGAGCGAGCTTGTTCAAGTCTTTCTTTATATCGAGCAAGAATTGAGTACGGACAGCGAAGAATTCAGGTATGCAAATTTTTTCAATCCCTGTGCTTTCTCATGCTTATGGGATACTGTTGCTTCGTGTGCATGTCCATTTACGATACGCGATTGGGATTATTTCCTTTAAAGTATCAAGGGATTACTTTGTTTTTTATATTTCAAAACTATGCATTTTATTCTGATTTTCAAGGAATGATTATAATCAGCAAGAAGAGTTTTGCGATGAAGATCTTGCTATAGATATATTATCAGTGCACTGACATGATTTGCATGGTAATAGTCCGAATTGATTTTGAAATCGGTATCGTGATTAAATTTGATAATCTGACCTAACGTTCTAAAATACTCGAAATATAAACGATGAATGCTCCATAAAAAATAAATGCAAGACATAAAAGCGATTTTACTTTTCGAGATATTAAGAATGTTAAGTAGCAGAATGTTGGCAGAAAATTTGTCTGTATATGTCCCCTCTCCTCCCCTCATTAACATGGATACTATCTAATATCGTACTGTTTTTGGCTCTCTGTTTCGGCATCCTCGCGATTTGGTGGAATTTGTGGTGCCTCCGTAACTTGAATGGTGTTGGGACAGCAGTCGTCATAGCAGGTAATTTGATAGTCCAACATATAACGTACATATGGCACATATATGCATACTGTTAATGTTGAATAAAGGCACTCGAGCGTATAGTGGCGTAAGAAGTACTTTTTCAGTATCTAGATACTCGGAGCAAAATGGATGAAATGCATACTCATCTAGTATAGAGAAAGATACTTTGAGAGAGAACTTACTTTACACCACTATTCGAGTATCAGAGAATAACACAGAGAATAACACATTAATAGCAATCATGTAACTTTTCATTGATCGAGCTCTGGGGAAAATTCTGTATCTGTTTATTGTAGCTTGCCTAAAAGCAATTGTGTAGTTTTCAGATTTCATGCTATTGTTTGTAAGAGAGTTTAATTTAAATAACACAAAACGCTTGGATTCGTATATGCACAGTTCACATATTAAATTGCTATCGGCCTTGGACTCATCGTGGGCTGTTAACGCTAGCAATGGACTTCAGGCACACGGACATCCTCACTGGTTGCAACTGCAACTAGCTGCCGCCAAGCTGTTAGACCTCGCGTTACTGTTGCCCGCACACAGATTACCGCAATTTCAAATGTAAGTAGAGAGGACGACCGACGATGTATTTTATTTGAGGAATAATGTATTACTTTGTTGATTTACAGGTATAAATGGGCATTCGTTGGAGACGCAGCGGCAGGATGCACGGATAACAACAATCTATCCTCGGACTTTGTACCGCATATTACAAGAATAGCGAAATTGATGGATAATAAGGTAAGTTTTCTCGATTATAACTCTCTTTATTTGTAATACACAGTAAATTATTCGGCACATTTTAATAATAATTATAATATAATTAATTATACTTTTCATGTCGCAAAAAAAGTAACTTAACGAAGCTCATTGAAAAAATATCGTAAATATTATGTATCGATATACAATATATTTTACGATTATATTTGGTAATTATAATTGTCTTCTGACGAACATTGCTCGGGTAATAGACATTTTTGAGTTTTCTCGTCGAAAACGTATTCTTCCTTGCACTCGCATCCGCTTTTGCACGGTGTGTAACAATCTACTACGTCTCGCTTCAAACACGTGAATTGACAAAGGCAATGCGTCCAGACCGATTTGTCGTCGCATTCATGAAAAAATTTGGAACGTGTATAATCAAATTCGTCGTAATCGTATCCGGGAATTCGATGCTTAGTGTATCTGTAAACTTTTTCGGGTAATTTGTACCAACCAAATTGCTTGTTTTTGAACAGATCTTTCTTCTTAAAGGAATCAACATTATTCCCGAAGGCAGGGAGATTCGAATCGGGATAATTTGTGTCGTGCCAATTTTCCGTATCATCGAAAACCTTTGTGATATAAAAATCTTCTTGAGCAGCGCTGCTATATTTTTTATCAGAACCTCCCGAATCCGCTGATAGATCTTCATAGAAATCAAAATCATTATATTCGGGATCATCCCTGTATTCTGGAACAAATATATTAATTAAATTATTGTAATCTTCATTAAGTGAATACGCACATCGGTAAAGCCTCATATAAAGGTGCGTCCGGAAATCCTACTCGTAGGGTAGAGTAACATTTAATATTTAAATTATTCAGAATAAAAGAAGCAAAGATTTCTTTGTCCTAATCAAAAAATATGATATAATATAATATTTTTAACAATATTTTAAAACACCAGAATAAAAGGATTAAATGATACATTTCAGTAAAAGAAAATTGGATTCATTAAATTAATTTGATAGAAAAGATCGTCGTACTACAGCCATGTTTTAATTAATATTCGCCAAGTAGGATCACAATTAACTTTGATTAAAGCCATTTAAAACATTGAAAATATAATTGTAATAGATGGAGAAAGAGTATTCTTATGTTCATGAATGTTTATGAATAATATTTATAGATAAATATATACACAAAATGTATTTTTTTTTAATAGAGGCGCGCCCTTTTTTCAAACTGCCGACTTTGAATCAATTTTTCTTTTACAAGAATGTCAAGATATCTATAACTCGCGAGTTTATGAGCGATTTAAAATATAAACATTTTTATTTTTGAAAAACAAGTTTCAGAGAAGGAAAATATGTAAATTAAAAGGTTGTATTAAATGATAAAATTGCTCGAAGTTTGCGCTAACGAAAAATCGATTTAAAAAAGCAGTTTTCAAAAGAAATGTGTTTATTGTGAAAAACATCCTGTATAACTGAAAGTGCAAACTTCACAGACAAAATGTAAGAAACGACAAATGAAAAGGAGAAAGAAAGTACGTTACATGAATCTGTTACTCTTTAATAAAGATGAATAAATATTACACATACGCACACACATTATGTCGTTTTAATACTCACGTGCAGTAACAATTATTATGGTGGACAGAACATAACAAAGTAAGACTTGCAACCAAGCCATTGTATTGTAGTCGCTTCTATAACTGTCCACAAACTACTGTGTGCTAGGATTATATCGCACGAGTATTCTCAATTATTATGACCCTACTCCGTGTATCGGTTCCATTTAAAGACATTGCTATTGCAACGCAAAAACTCTATTTAATCTAACTGTTTCTGCTGATGTATGTTGACAGCTTAGATTAAAGAAATTGGGGTTTAGGACAAGCATAGAAGTTTCGATTATATTACTCTTTAATTATTTGAGATAATTAATATTTCAGATTATGTATAAAAATAAAAATTATCGCACGCAGGTATATACTCGGTGTGTGTATACACATGCACAGTAACTGAAATACTTATTTTGGTACCATGAGAAATCATTGTATACATATATTCGTTTTTGCAACTAAGCCAATACAGCTCTCTAGTCAGTCGCAGTAGATATTGCACAACATTTTCGATGCTACAAACACAATTTTTCATTTTTCTTGCATGTTATTTAACATTGTTCCTTAATTATATACGAAATTCTTTACATCTTTTGTTATAATGGTAAAATATTCCATAATTATTGAATGTAAAAAGTTTAACAATTGCAAAAAAAAAATAATTGACTTTTTGCTAAAGAAAAATCAAATTTTATCAATTAGACACTTTTCAATTAGGCATTTTTTATATATTATATATGCAACCGGATTTGAGAAGAAATTCTTTTTCATGAAGAAAATAGCTTTTCTTGATTTTTCTCACATTCTCTTTTTTTCAGTTTAAACCAGAAGGATCACCGCCCAAAAGGAACCCAGGAGAACTTTTACTGACATCAAATAACGTTCGCTCTCTGCAAGACTTGCATCACTTCTTCTCAAGTCTTAGTCGCGCCACATGCGACACGTACGTGCCGATAAATAATACACAGTTGGAGACTGTAATCGAGCAAGACTTTCTTGAAAAAATGCCGACCATGCCAACGAGATAGTAGGGATGCGTAAAGGTACATAAATAATTTGTCAATCAGGAAGTGTAACAAATATATTGTTAAAAAACTTTATCCTTTGATATATTTATATAAAAAAAAGAAATATAAATAAGATATTTCGCATTCGCGCCGCATTTAAAAGTATTCTGTCTATACGTAAATACTACATTGTATAAACACAATTAGAATGCAGATATCTAGAAAACACGCCGACTGCTCTTAGCTCTTGCTGTTAAAATATAGACGTCCGATTAAAATTTGCTTAAAAAAGAAAAGGAGAAAAAGGTTAACCATATTTTGATTAAAACATCAAAGTAATAGATAAGAGTGATACAATAAGAATGGACTTTAGATATTCTACATGGATAAATTTTAATTGTATGAAGGAAAATGAAGGAAAAAATTTATATATATGTCAAAAATTGTTAATTATAATGGTAAAATATTCCATAATTATTGAATGTAAAAAGTTTAACAATTGCAAAAAAAAAATAATTGACTTTTTGCTAAAGAAAAATCAAATTTTATCAATTAGACACTTTTCAATTAGGCATTTTTTATATATTATATATGCAACCGGATTTGAGAAGAAATTCTTTTTCATGAAGAAAATAGCTTTTCTTGATTTTTCTCACATTCTCTTTTTTTCAGTTTAAACCAGAAGGATCACCGCCCAAAAGGAACCCAGGAGAACTTTTACTGACATCAAATAACGTTCGCTCTCTGCAAGACTTGCATCACTTCTTCTCAAGTCTTAGTCGCGCCACATGCGACACGTACGTGCCGATAAATAATACACAGTTGGAGACTGTAATCGAGCAAGACTTTCTTGAAAAAATGCCGACCATGCCAACGAGATAGTAGGGATGCGTAAAGGTACATAAATAATTTGTCAATCAGGAAGTGTAACAAATATATTGTTAAAAAACTTTATCCTTTGATATATTTATATAAAAAAAAGAAATATAAATAAGATATTTCGCATTCGCGCCGCATTTAAAAGTATTCTGTCTATACGTAAATACTACATTGTATAAACACAATTAGAATGCAGATATCTAGAAAACACGCCGACTGCTCTTAGCTCTTGCTGTTAAAATATAGACGTCCGATTAAAATTTGCTTAAAAAAGAAAAGGAGAAAAAGGTTAACCATATTTTGGAAAATGAAGGAAAGAATTTATATATATGTCAAAAATTGTTAATTCCTTCATGGACAAATTGATTGTAGATAAAATAAGAAATATCTTTTTTAGTTAGAAAGGGAGAGAGAGAGAAAAGGAACCAGGAATGAATCTGAAGCACGTAATTAATTTTTTGTTACTTGTTTTTATCAGTTAAGCTTTTGACTCGTCTCCTCATTCGGTTGTGAATAGTTATCAGCATGTACAATATAGCACGCTGAATTTGCACATTGGCCTGTGCTAGTATAAAATTATATAGAGCGTGTACAGTGTAACATATTATACTTACGGAATAAGGTCTTCCCACTATTTTTTGACATATACCTGTCAAATCTTTTTCAATGATTTCCATTTTTCTTTCCTTTTAACTTTGCACATTACTATATTTGAAAGTGATAAAAAAATCTATGTGTGTGTGCATGTGCGCGTGGATATGTCTAGGTTTTTAGAGAGAAATACACACACACATATGGATGATTCTCTACAGATCCTTCAATAGCAATCGCTTTGTTAAAACACAAACAATGAAAGATGAATTATAGGAGATAAAAATTTAAGCAATGTCCTATTTGCAATGTGAAGTTTACAGATTGCGATATAGATTCGCGGATATTAAATAAAAGTATTAAGTAAAAGTTTGTAAACCACAAGCTGTAGGCCTGCATTATCAGGATCCACTCGCTTTAATGCATTTCAGACTATCGAGGATAATTCATCATGAAATTGTTTATGAATTTTCACTCCATCTAAGTTAATCTTTTAATATAAGGCTACCCCGCGTCATATATCGTCAAATACGCTTTGTTTTAATGAACAGACTTTCTAGACAAACTGGTAAATTATATACTGCAGTACTACTGCATCATCGTCTTATATAGCATGCTTGAGAAAAATAAGACACTATATTTTTATGACAAACTAGTTTAATATACACTAAAAAGATTTAATACCAAGAATATCTACCCCAATTTATATGATGTAAGCTTCTTTGCACAGCTAGAAAATAATTGAATTTGAAGTTAATATATAATAAAAAATGTATAGTGTTAATTTCAACAAAAATTTTAAAATTATACTAGACATGTTTGCTAAAACATATATTATTATTTTTCATAACTGTAAATGATCTTATATGTTCTGCTAATGATAATGTCTTTATTAAAGTAAATTTTGAAGCTATAAAGTGATTTTTCTATCCTTATTTAATTAATGAGATCACAAAAATACGTTTGCATATTGGTAGATATTCTTTGTCAATAAAATTCGTGATTTATGAATCCCATATACAATTGTGATTTGTTATATATCTAATATAGAACGTAACAAATCACAATGTGTGGGAAAACAAAATTGAAAGCTCTTACAATGGATTTATTTTTATTTTTTTTAATATAAAAATGCAATATCTAAAAAAAATGTTAAATTGTTTAATTTTGTCATTGTATTTTATGTTGTTATTAATCTGAAATTAAATTCAAAATAAATAAGTAATTTCTAAAAGCAAAACAATTCTTATCTTTAGCAATATTATTGAAGTTACTGCTTGGCACTAATAATAATTAGTTGTAAATGACAGATTTATTTTACTAGTTTGGCAGAGGCTTGTGCAAAGATCTATTGGACATGAAAAAATGTTTATATAATCTAGTTATATATTTGTATACTACACTATATATTTATTTAAAAAATCGATGATATGATTTTTTAATATGTTTACTTTAAGTTTTTCTATAAGTTAATAATTTTTTATGTATCGTCTATAGTTTGTGAGTTAGAATGGTTTATAAACATTTGTTATAGCTAAGAGACAGAGAAATTAAAGTTTCGTCACATATGAAAGCATTAGACAAATATGTATACTTATATGTTGAAAAATCATGTAATTTTATGTAATAAATCTATATTCTACAAATAAATAAATTACTGTAAAATATATATAAGTAGCAAATTTACTCTTTTATTCTTAATCTATTAATATTATAAAAGGAAATAAAGATTGCACTTAAAAAAATAATTTGTACGATTTAATATTAGATTAAGAAAAAAAGTAAAATTCTTCACTCTAGATTCCGCTAAAAAAATAACTTAAAATCTAGAAGAGATGATTAAAGATTGTGCGCGTGATGTATTGGTACAGAATGGATTGAAAAAATATATATGTCGTTAAAAATTGTATTTTATGTCATGTTAGTGAGATATATTCTTAATCCAAACAGACTGACACAAAATTAAAGTGTCCTTTTTAGCTGTATTCTTTATATGTTTTTGCAATATCGCTCATTTCTCTCTTGCATGATCCGAGTTCGCGCTTGTGTACGTCAACCCCTCCATTACGGTTGCGTGTGCTAGCGTGAGACGCTGCGCCAGATTTCAATAACAAATTAATCATCCTTGAATGTCCTTTATTTTTGGCTATGATTAATGCCGATTGCTTAAATTGACTGGAATATGCATTTACGTTAGCACCGTGTTTAATTAAAATCTTGGCAATTTTAACATGACCAATACTCGCTGCTTCCATTAATGGTGTACGATCTTTGTTATTACGATCTTCAACATGCGCTCCCGCTTTTATTAAGATACATACAACCTCTTTATGTCCACCGGTGCATCCATATATGAGTGGTGTATTCCTTCTATTACAAATACAAATACTTTGTAACAATATTATCCTGGACAAATTCGTAACTTCGATAATATTTGCAAATAAAAATTTAGCAGCAGTGTTCTCAACCTAAAAGAGGGCGTTTATGGTACCAGGGTCGTAAAATTATGGTACATTGAAAAAAACTATGGTACAATTTCGTAAAAATATTTTTTTTTTTTTTTATTAAAATGAATTAAGGGCTTAAGGCAGCGCGAGAAATGTTTAAGGCCGAAAATACGTCATAGTTTAGAGGTTAAGTCATAAGGTTTAGGGCTTAAATCGCCTATTGTAGACCGGCACTAACGGTTCCGGCATAAATTAACAGTTACGGCCTGCATAAATCAGCCTTTAGAGTTAGATGAACCGGGTAGATCCCAGTTGCACACAGTGTTCTCAACCTAAAAGAGGGCGTTTTTGGTACCAGGGCCGTAAAATTATGGTACATTGAAAAAAACTATGGTACATTTTCGTAAAAATGTTTTTCTTTTTATTAAAATGAATTATTTAGAGATTGTTTCAAGCTTAAATTACTAATTACATTTTATTTATATTATTGCACAAGTTATATATATGAATATATACATATACAATAATAAATATATAAATATAATAAAAAATACATTTTAGGAACATCGCAAACTTAAGGTATACGTTTTTTATATTACTTTTCTTATTTCCTAAATAGAAACTCTTAAATCACAAAAAAAAACCTTATAAAATAATTAATTTTTAACTGAAAATACTATTAACGATTACTGATTCTATGAAGACTAATCCATTTCATAAATCCGATTGATTATCCATCCGGATCAATTATGTCTAACTTATGGATGCAATCAAACCTTTACCATTGAACAGTATAATTCGGAAAAATCAGAAAAGTATAATAGTGACTTCGAGTATCTTAAAATTATGGTACATTTGCGTACCATAATGAAGTGCGAAGGTACAATGTACGCTGATACGAAATTATGGTACGGTTGAGAACGCTGTTTAGCAGGCAAGTAATTTTAAAAAATCATAAATAATAAAAAATAAATAGCTAATGCTAGTAATTTTACCTAGCATAGACCGTGTATTTACGTCTATTTTATGACCAATTAACCACTTCACTACTTCGGGGGCGATGCGTGGCGCCGGGCGTAGAGTCGCAGGCTGGTGATCGAGAGATTCCGGGTTCGATTTCGCTCGGGTCCCATCCTTCTATATGACTCAAAAAGAGATTTTCGCACATTATCCTATATATAATTCCTAATTTATCATATATTATCCTATATAATACCTATACCTACACCTAGTTAATGGTGTATAGACAGTTCCTTTCGGAAAGTCTCCCAGCCATATCAGAGAAGAAGAAGAAGAAAAAAGCCACAGAAAAATAAAACAATTATTATTACCTGAACTGCGCCAGATTTCAATAAAATGTTAAATGTGTTGGTCATACTGAAATTGCTAAGATTTTAATTAAAAACGGTTAGCATTTAATTAGCACCGTGTTTAATTAAAATCTTAGCAATTTTAACATGACCAACACATTTAACATTTTATTGAAATCTGGCGCAGTTCAGGTAATAATAATTGTTTTATTTTAAAAAGAGATTTTCGCACATTATCCTATATATAATTCCTAATTTATCATATATTATCCTATATAATACCTATACCTACACCTAGTTTTAATGGTGTTATAAACAATTCCTTTCGGAAAGTCTCCCAGCAATATCAGAGAAGAAGAAGAAGGAGAAAGCTACAGAAAAAAAAAACAATTGTTATTTCCTGTATTGCACCATATTTCAATAAAATGATAAATGATTGGTCATATTAAAATTGCCAAGATTTTAATTAAACACGGTTAGCAGCATTTAATTAGCACCGTGTTTAATTAAAATCTCTGAATGGGGACCGAGCGGAATCGTTTAACATTTTATTGAAATCTGGCGCAGTTCAGGTAATAATAATTGTTTTATTTTTCTGTGGCTTTCTTCTTCTTCTTCTTCTCTGATATGGCTGGGAGACGTTCCGAAAGGAATTGTCTATACACCATTAACTAGGTGTAGGTATAGGTATTATATAGGATAATATATGATCAATTAGGAATTATATAGGATAATGTGTGAAAATCTCTCTTTGAGTCATATGGAAGGATGGGACCCGAGCGGAATCGTATCCGGAATCTCTCGATTACCAGCCTGCGACTCTACGCCCGGCGCCACGCATCGCCCCCTTTCTGTGGCTTTAATAAAATAACCATGTTCAGAAAATTGTAGATAGACGATTATATATTAATAGAAAGTTTGTTCCTTGTTGTGGACAAAATACTGTGGGCGTTTTTCAGCAAGGTACACAGATGACACAGTGTATTACACATTATCACATGATTGGCTGTCAAATGAAGAAATTTAAAATATAGCCAATCGCGTGATAATGTATAGTACATTGTGTCGTCTGTGTACCTTGCTGGAAAACGCCCTATGTTATGAAAGATTTACAGATGTTTACAAATTTTGGAGGACACATGAATCATAAAATAATCCTTGCAACTTTTTCACGTTCCAAAAACTATAAAAAAAAATGTAAGTTTTTTCTATCCATGCCTTAAGTTCAGACTATACCTCCTATCAAAATTTCATAGAATTTCAAAAAACAAGAAGCCATCACAAAACGTACTCTCAAGTCAGCTAAAAGAAAGAGCTGGAAATCTTTCTGCCTATCATTAACCAATCAAACTCCCATCTCCTACATCTGGAACATGATAAAACGTTTCAAAAAAAGACATCTCGGTCTCCCTCCTCCACCTAGACGCGGGACCCGTTTCTGGCATCACTGCCTACGACCTACGACTCGAGCACTTCAAAGGCCGATTCTGAACGAGCGAAAAGGTGAAAGTAAAATTTTCCCGAGGAGATATACATGTATATACCTACGGGACGAGTGAATAGGCACATCCCGCAATACATTTAAATACATCTTGTCGCAGAACATCGGGGAAACATGCTCATGTTGATGTGCCTCGTCGTCAGACATGCTAACTTGGTCGAGTGTCAACTAACCTAATTTACGATCGCGGATTTCATCTGCGTGATAACGCGAATAATGTGTATCTCGATGAACGCGGCTCTTTTTACGATGGACAACACGATTGACAAGTGGGACAATGTCTGCAGACTGTGCTCGGAGGAGAGGAACGAGATGTTGCCCATCTTCGGCGACGAGGGTCTGCAGCGCAGGATGGCTCAGAAGCTGCGCGCCTGTCTACCCGTGCTGGTGTACAAAACTGATCCCTTACCGAAACAAATTTGTCAGTTCTGCGCGGCGAGGCTAGATGATGCGTACGAGTTCAGAGAGTATTGCCTGAACGTCTACAGGGATATGCACGCCATGTTATTCAAGTGTAGACAGATAGAGTCTGTGCAGATATTCCTCGACGCGATGAAAAACTCGCCGGATCCATGTCAGGTTTGTCGATTGAATAAATCACTTTTTAGCAGAATCATTTGTTACTTCAAATTTTCATAAAAAGAACTTTACCTTAAAACCAATTTTTCTTCTTTATAATCATTATTATTCTCAGGCACAACTCTGCAAGGAGAGGTCTAGAGCACCACCGCCATTGGTTCCTCTATCAATCGGACTACCCCTTGATGATTTGGTGACTCCGATCAATCAAATTAGTCAAGATCAATTGCAAAATGTCTGCATGGAAACCTTGTCTGAACTACCTTGCGAAGTAGAGATCAAAGAAATGAATGAAGATCCAATTTTGGATGCTGAAAATACAATCTGTGAGCCATTGAAGAAAAAACGCAAGTTATCAGAGATGTTTGACACAAATATGCAAACAAAGACAGATATTGTTTCTATATTTGACACAGAAGAAGAAAACACAGTTTTCAAGGCAGATTATCAAACGAAAAAGGAAGAGAAACGAACCAGTATTTTGGAACAAGTTTTGACCGGTAGTTTGACAATGAATAATCATCAGAAGCTACAACCTAGAGCAAAATTAACTTCTGAATGGTGGTGTGCACCCTGTAACAGTTATTATAGGTGAGTGCTGATAATTTTTCAATATATTACAAGATTGTTCAATAACTTGGATTTTATTTAATAATTTGGATTTAATTTCATTTTTCTTTCCAGAACAAAGGATAGTCTAATGAAACACATGCAATTGCACTGCCCACGTATATATACCTGTAAAAAATGTTCCTTATCTTTCGAATCTGTAGAAATTTTGGCAAAGCACGAAGCTAATAATCATTTAAAAGTCAAATTGGATTTCACGGAAAGCTTGAAAGATTGTCATAAATGTGATCGGCAGTTCATAAGCTGGGATATGTTGAGACAACATAGATTACGCGATCATTTAGCCGAATTGACTGAGATTGGAACCAACACATGGTGTTCATTGTGCAATAGGTAATTTATGGGTGACTACTTTAAAGATACCTTTGCTTTGTAGACTGCTCTTTATATATATTATAATATCATACATGTACATGTTTTTAGGTTTTTTCCTACTGTAGAAACTTATCAAAATCACATTCAATTACACCAAGCAAATTCAATAATATCGCAGAACCTACCTTTCGCAGAATCTGCGATAGCAAAGACACCAGAACGGCCGAGGGAAGTTAAAAGAGAGGAGCAATTCTATGAAAACGTAAAGTCTCTCACATGTCCCACTTGTGGAAAAGTATGAAATCATAATTATACTTCTACATGAAGAGCTTTCTATTAAATTCTACAATAACTTTTGTATTATTCATTATAGGTTTGTACTCAGCAAAGTGCATTATCAAATCATATGCGTACTCACGAACCGAAGAGACACAAATGCGACATTTGCGGTCGGTCATTCGGGCTTTTTATACGCCTGGCCGCACACAGAGTAACTGAGCATAATGTGCAGCCAACAATGTTACCAGTTTTGTCAGCAGTTGAGCAGGAGGAAGCATTAAATGCTGAAAGAGAAGCAAGGGAAGCAAGGGAATCTAAAACTCGTGGTGCCAAGAATAAATTCTATTCCGAGGTTTGTTTAATCTTTTCAAAAATTTAATTTTCCTCCAATTTTTTATCAGTACATTGTTTTTTTTTTTTTTTTTTTTTTTTTTTTTTGTTAAAAATTTATTGTAATTCTCTCTATAATTTACGATTGTTAAGAAAATTATTAATGGGAAAATAATAACAAAATTGAAAATGCATTTGTATTTTATTATCATTTTTTTTCTTTCTTATATATAAATGTAAGATTAAAAAAAAAAAAAAAGTAACATCAATATAATTTTAGTGAAACAAAAATAGAGCTACTCAGCAAAATTATTTGAAAAGATTTTTATATCCTCATAATAGAGGATCGCAAGAATTGATATAAAGTACATCTTTCTTCTTTATCTATCGGAAACTAAATTTATTGAAATTATAATAGATTTTAATGTTTAATTTAAATTTTATTTTTCTTATAATATTTTTATTTTCAGATGATGGAGAAAAACAATGTTCTGGTAGATGACGAATCTTCAACAAAACGTAATTCTAGTGGATTCAAAAACGTTGCAAGATGCGGCATTTGTCTACAATGGTTCAGCGACCATACAACAATGCTAACGCATCTCCAAACACATTCGGACAATTCCCACAAAAATTTCATATGTCACATATGTAAAAAGTCATTTAAAGAACAATCACAATTGCTCAGGCATGAGGTAAGACAACCAACAAAATTATTATTGTGATTATTTATTTGTGGTATGACATTTTTAAATAACGAGTTATCTTCCGATTGGTAGACTTGTCATAAACGCCTATCACTCGATAATGCTTCACTGTATACATCTGCTGTTTACAACAAATCGTCGTCTATGGATAAACTGCAACAAAAGATGCACACAGTGGATAGAACTTATCACTGCGCAAAATGTAACAAAATTTTTTTCAAAGAAGTATCACTTCTCACTCATCAGTGCACGAGCAAGGCACAATTTGGAAAGAAAGTTGCTGCAAAATCTCTGCAGAAGACATCGTCTCACGATAACGACAAGAAATACAAATGTTCGAAATGTGACGCATCTTTCGCAAGTTCACAATCACGGAATGCTCACATGAGGATGCACGTCGAAAGTGCGCATAACAATACGGTATATAATTTACGATACATAACGCACAATTTCAGCCGCACATCCAGCAATATTTGCATACATTATGCATATTTTGAAATCAATTATCATATTGTTTGAAAACAATTATATTAACCAATCATTACATCTAGGCACAAACATATGAAATTAAAACTGAAAGGGATGACGAACCGATGCCAAAATTACGTCCTGAGACATCGCTAGAATACAATATATCTCCTATCGAGCCAAAAATCGAAATCAATGAACAGAGTACACCACCACCTCTTAAACGGACTCTCATTAAAACCGCTAACGGGTAAAGAAATATTTAAAATATTATAGTTTCAAATCTCTCCAGATACATAGAAATATTTTATATTATTTATTGAATATTTGGAGGTAAGGGGGAGCAGAAGGAAAGGGGAAAAATACTAATATTTTATGTGACATTTATTTATTTCTAGACATCGATGTGGTGTATGTCAATCACCATTCGTGTCAAGAGAGTTAGCAGTGGCGCATTTGAGATCTGCACATCCGGTGATGCCATACCAGTGCCCTTATTGCAAAAAACGCTTTACGACGCAATACACATTTACTCATCACATCAAAACAGAACATCCCGATGAACCCGAGAAATAAAGGTTGTTTGAAATTGCATGCCGAAGGTAATGGACAGATCGAGATAATATCACAATATGTGCCTCGTTATACGTGACAATTTTGTTTATACTATATATACAGGATGTGAGATACACACACACATATGAAACGTTAAAAATAATTAATATCTTAAAAATAATTAATATCTTAAAAATTTTAAAGTAAAGGTAAAAGTTTTGAACAATGTACATAATGACAATCCTTGTTATTGTTATTATTCAAAAGCGAGGCAGATCTATGGCAAGCAGTAAATATACTTCTCACACAAAACTGCATGTAACTTTTACTTTACACTATGTTTTCTAAAACCAAAATATTTTTTAAGATATTAATTTGTATTATACATTGTATGTGTCTCGCTGCATGTCAATCTTCGGCTATTAATTGGCCTTGGACAAAAACTTTTCTAGCGCATAATTATGCGAACACTGAGGTTAGATCTGTTATACGAGGCTATTGATATTAGTATTTACACGAAACGTGCCTGTATGTGCTTTGTTTTACAGCGTCATATAAAAAATGGATTTTATTTGTTAACCGCGCGAAGTAAAAGCAGTTCTAGAGCGACGGTAAGCAAATTTTAAACGCTTTGATTGAAAAATTAATATAATTATGAGTTACACTGCCCGTTAGCGGTAATAGTTTGATTATGCAATTTATATATATAATATGACTTATCTTTTTTAGATTTAATTATGTTTTATATATTCATGACATTATAATTAAATATAGTTACAGTAACGTATCGAGAATTCTAAAATATATCAATTACAATCACTCTAGAATTGTTTACTACAAATAACGTATCCAATTTTCTAATGCCATTGTAAGTTATCTTGTGTTTAGGGGACTTCTCTCACAATACCTCCAATAATATGATATAATATGATCCAATAATATGATATTAAAGGAAAGAGTATTGAGGATTCTAGATTGTTCAATCATGTTAAAATACATTCCCTTTTAAGAAATGTTTTGTGTATCCATATTGAAGTCTTATTTTGTGTTAAGTGATTTTATGTGTCGCTTTGTGATACAATGACTTCTTTCTAAGGATATCCAAGATCATAGTTATGATTAAAAAAGAAAAGTCAAAACAATGCTACATAATTTAAATATGTACATTGTCTTCGCATAAGTTTATTTTATATATAGCTTATTTACAATAATCGATTATCGAAATTTTATTTGCAATAAACTTAATGAGAGAAATATTATCGTGAAAATAATTTTTTCTGTATTATATGAGTTTTTCTCCTAAAGATATTAATTTTCATAAAACATCAACTTTGCAAAAAGAAATATATTTTTCTGTAAATACTTCAGTATGTTATATATATTCGAAGCTATCTTCTACTTTCTCTGGCACTACTATTGCCAAAGTGAATTTAATTCGTGCTTTGAAAACCAATTTACTGCCAATCGATTTTTATTATACATCTTACCTCGTATTAACTTTTCTAATTCACATCATAATTTTTAGATTAATTTACCATTGCTCTTGTTCGCCTTTGAGTAATTGTTTATTATGTATTTATGTTATGGTTAACCAGATGGACAAAACTACTTGGAATTTGACGTAAGGAATGTGTCGAATAAATTTAGAATGAATTCGATATATTTAATAGCGACATTAGAGCGAACGTACACACACATACCACTGACTGAATAATAACATACGGTAATAATGGTATATTTCGCTACGATAATAATTTTATGAAAATTATTATTCAGATGACAAAAAACATTTTTATAAAATGTTTTATTTTCCGTATATTTTAACTAAATGTTAAAAGATTTAAATTGATTGAAAGATGTAGAAATAATATTTATAATGAAGTACAATGTTGATAAAGCACAATGACGTAAGTGTAAATAACATCGAAAACATGTTTAATAAAAAAAGTATCCTTTTTAAAGGATTTTATCAAATATATATTTTATATTTTATATATATTTTAAAATTATTTTATGTTTTTGCATCTCTCGTATTTATCGTTAAATACGTTGCTAAAGAAAAAGTGTCTCATCTTGTCTGCGAATGTACATTCTTCATATACGAGATAAATAAAATTTAGAATCAAATATCCACATTTCACACTAAATGTGGAAAGTATGTATGAATATGATACTATATAATAATATTGTTGCGTCCCTGTGTTCCATTTCAGTGATAATAGTGTCCTTGCGATCATATATTTGTAATCCGCTATGCCCTATCGATACGGGGTCATCGACAAAAAGCGAGATGACAAGAAGATTGTCTCCTGATGCATCAGATGTTATTAATCAGCAAAAGAAAATGTCTTGAATAGAGAGTTGAATACTTTTACGATAACCGACGTGCCGTGCGAGCGCATTTCCGATGGCTCTGCTAATTCCAAATAAAAATATCCTTGTTGCGTGTTTTTCCTTGTTATGTTTCTATGTTTTTTTATTAAGTTATACTTTAAAACTGTTCCTTACTCGCAAGCGCGAGCGTGACTAGTGATAGTGAAAATCGCGAGATATCGATCTCGATCCGTGTGGACGCAACAATATATATTATAATATACATTAAAAAAATATATTTTTTAAATATTTTTCTAAAAAAAACCCTCTGTGCGTTTATTGAAACTTTCCGTTTGTTCGAGAAAGATGTACATGTATTATTTACATTGCTTATGTCGATCTGTAGTGCTTCTCGGTACTAGTGCTTCCTGTGCGATGCAGGGGTTTCCTCGCGACACTTTCTCATAACGATCCACCTGTCTGTTAAGATACACAACGGAGAGATAAAAGTTCTTACATATAAAGAGTAATCTCCCTACATGTATAAGGAATACGCCAAATTCATTTAGTATATTTCTCACAAAGTTGGAAATAATATTTTCTTAGCAAGAAACTGATAGATTATTATCTTATATTATTATATTATTTTTATATTATTTCTTAATTTTTTAATATATTAAATAGCTTAGCAATCTAGTCTTTAAATGAAATTATATTGTTGAGTCCCCAAAGAGAGAAACGTGACTATAAAATATGAGCCTAAAACACTGTACAAGATATTGTTGCCCTCTTCCTTCCATCTTTTACACTCCTTAGAAATCATAATTTTTAGAAGACGTTATACTGCTGACAGGAAAATAGATAAAGAAATAGGACGCCTATGTATATATACGCAAATACGGTAAACAGCAAGATATTGAAAAGCCAATATATCTGAGCGGAAGTTGCCGACTGTCATCGTGAGACATCGCGTTCTAAAGAATGCAGACGATACTACAAAAAAAAAAAAAAAAAAAAACTAACAAAATATGTGTTTTAAACCATCAATCGTGAAAAAATATGATATAATATTTTGAAGATGGAAATCTTTATTAATTCTTCAATATTATATACACAAAAATTGTGGAAAAGATTTAACGAGTTTTTTAAAATCTTTTATATGCATTTATAATCTTTATGTTTTATTAAACGTTAAGTTGATTATCGTAAAACCGAAGATTATAAAATATCTTATTCTTGGGACATCCTAATTTGATCTTTATGTGATATTATAATCTTTAATCACAAATAATACGATATTTATAAGATATCACATATAAAATATTGCTTTATCAAGTCTAGAACATGTCTCTCAATACAAGAAAGGCAAAGACTTGAAACGAAAATGCATCGCGGCGAAATGCTTGGTAATCTTGATGCGACAGAAGAGATTCGCCGGCGCGGCCACGCGCCAGGGGTATACGTCTCAGGGTGCTGGCGATAGAGGGATGGAGGGGAGAAGCGAGGGAGAGACGCGCGGCGCGTGCACCATCGACGAATGCCGCGACGGCGGGTGCATCGCAGAGGGGGTGAATCTGCCGCATAGCGCGCGGATATAGAGGGTGCCGAGAGGGAAACTCGTCCGAGGGTGACACGGTCGGGTATCGCGCCGTCAGTTGCTATGCGTCCGGGTAAAGTGGCGAACGCATCGCGCGCGAGCCCGAGAACGAACCACCGTCCCTAAAAAGTCGCGTTCTCATCCGCGAGCCAGACGTGCCAAACGCTGGTGTATACACGCGCTCACTCACTGCCCAAATCCTTTTTTATTTTCCTGGCGACGACGACTGGAACATTGTCTCCCAGACGACGTGCTCGCCTAATTTCCATGCGACGGACGCGGATCCGACGCGATTAGAGCACATGCCCCGGCGATCACGATGACCATGATCGCGAATCCAGCCGCGCCGATCATCGGCCTCGTCCTCGTCCTGGCGGCCACTTTTCATCGCGGTGAGTGCCGATCGGATTCGGCGGTTCCTGGAATGACGATCGGTTCTCTTCCACGGTGCACGATTATTATCGGATCGAGCGAGCCTAGGCCTCGATCCGACGATAATAAAATTGAAATTCCCGCGAAAGAGAACGAAATAATCGGATCCCGAAATATCTCTTTACGCGCGCGAAAGCGCACTTCGATTCCTCTTGTTTTATGATGTAACATAAAATAGAATAAGAATAGCTATTTTTATTCGAAGTTAGAAAAATAGCGTATAAAGAATTTTATATTCTTTTAGTTTATCTTACAAACTATTTAAAGGCTATTATAATTGTTTTAACAACTGATACAATTGTAAATGCCTTTTCACATGTACATGAAAATAAATAGATACTCTAAATGCAGTCTTTTGCAGTCATTATATTTCATTTATATAAATTTGATTTTTAAATTTCTGCGCAGAAACTTTATTCTTAAATAGTGCAAAAGAATGTATAAGAGATATTCGAAATATATTTGAAAGACTAGAACATTTTTACGACAGCTTCTAGATATTTAATATTATATTATCCGAGTTGCATTAATTTTCATTGGCGCAACATTTTTCCTAGAAGATAGACATAGGTGTTAGTGCAAACGTTTGAAAGTTTGAATAGGAACTTTGATCGAAAAGCTTGAATAACAAGTTCGAATATTGAAATACCCTTCTTACGTGCGGGAGTTTAATAAAATAGTTCCCATATTCTGGATATATTTCAATTGCCCGATAATTGGACTAATTTGACACTTGCGAATATCGCTTCTTAAAATGCGAGAACGATCGATAATATGACCTCGTGCACTTTATTCACAAGTCGTAGAAAATAGTCGCATATATGTACGGCGCAATGCGGCGTAAAGGTAATGACAGGGAATGTTATCGCCATGAATGAAGCGTCTAGACAAAGGATCTCTCATATGTTGTCTGGAGGCTCGGAAGAGAACTCCTGAAATACAAAAATATAAAAGAAAACATTCGAATTTTTGCAATCCAAATTAATTTCGGACTCATAGAGTCTTTTGTTCCCTTATTTTAATGTTGACAGAATAAGATTAATGTATAGCAATTGTATCTCGAAATTTTATAAAGATTAAAGAGATATTAAATTATGTATATATAATTTTATAGAATTAATTGTTGCAACTTGCATGAAGAGGAGTTTCGAATAGCATTATCATTCATTATACACTATCGCGTATATAAAATATATGTTGCGTAACAAATTAGAAATTGTTACGCAAAGATTTGGATTCAGCACTAAACATGAGTAAAAAAGAGATTATTTAAGATAGCATTTATAAAGAATTTTCATCTGGAAGTTCTTAAATTGTTTAATGTTGGAAAAAATTGGTTCTTAAATTTCTTATTTCTATCAATTTATTTTAATCTTTATATCAATCTGGGAGATTAAAGAAAGATGAATCTTTTACATTATTGATAAATTTCTTCCAATTTACTTCAATATCAATTCATTTCTTTTATCCAGCATTTGACTACATACATTGTGAATATGATAAAGGATAAAATGGCTACCAAAAGTTTGAGAAACTGGTTCCTTATTTTAAGAAAATAGATTTTGGTTCCATAAAAAAATAAGTTTCTCTCAATTCTCATTCTAAATTCTTTATATTTTAGGCGTAATTCATTTTCCTTCATCTGTTTCTTTTCTCACCCTATGCATCATAGATTCGCAAAAAAACAACGATATTTAGCAATAGCATGATGCACGGTATTACGGCCAGTGAAACACCGATCGGCGAATTCTTACAACAGTAGCACTTGTGGTACTTCGGCATGTCAGATCATTAAAATAAACAGGACGGGATATTGTCGAATCAAATTTTAAATTTACGAAACGCATTCTATATGTGTTAAATATTTTAACAAAATTTACTTATGCACATTTATCAAAATGAGGAATATTGCGGCATAATAAATTACTAAATGTTGAAAATTAAATGGATTAATTTTTTGCAAAATTAAGCCGTTATTACGCAGCTTGGTTTCGTCGATCGATATTAAAAATGCCGATAAATTCATGACCTCGATCGAAGAAATCATCGAGCTTTAACCGTATTTCTCTCCGCTGACGTTGTCGATACATATCCGACGACTGCGACAGCGGAAAAGTCAAATCCGGGAAACAGCTGAGATTGCAACAATAGTGTCCTTAATAGCATCGAAGATATGATTAGGCGTGATATCTCGCTATCTTCTTAACAAACATCGTTTACGAGTTGATGACGTAACCTTGCCGTAACGCAAAGGTGAAAGAGTTTGGCATTGGAATAACGATAGCAATGACGTAACTTTTTTTCGATATTCAAGCGGATCATGTGCGATTCATCAAATACGATTGAATTGTTTCAGTTTTTATTTTTCCAAATTAAATTTCCTCCCGCTCTATCTACCCCTCGCGATACGCATGTCTTTACGAAAGCTTCAGGATACCGGCTGATGCGCGCTTAACGTATCATCCGGTTTTCTTCCCCCTTTTCGTTCGCCGATCGAAGTAATTGCCGATATAAAAGTAATTGGCATCGGCAGTCCGTATTTGAAATATCGCGAACAAGTATGCTTTATTCGACAATTTGTTGAAATTTAAGATAGCGTCTACGAAAGCTACCGTTGTTGAAAGTTATCGAGCGACCCACTTTCTCCTTCTCCGACCCCTTTCCTCTCATTTAGCCCCCTTCTCCTCCTCTTTTTTCCTCATCCCTATTCAGTATAGTTTTGTGCGTATCTCATTTTTTTTATAATTATAATATTATTTCTTCTTGTTTTGGTAATAAAAATTTGTATTTTGTTTTATTCCAAAAACGGACAGAACTTTCCGGTAGACCTAATATATACATTATTTTTTTAATAATAGATATTATACTTTTTTCAAAATATATATAGATTGTCTTACTAATAAAATATTTTTTACTAATATATGTATATCTAGCTATACGTTTTACAAATGCTAATTTCATCAACTTTTATTCGTCGATTCATCAATATACGATTCATTAAAAATTTATCGTTGTTTTGGAGGCAATAATGCGAGCGAATGAAATCATATAGATTCCCTCGTAAATAAATTATAAATGAATATATTATTATTGAAAGTACAGTAATATACATTGCGCATAAAATTTAATTATTGAGCTTGACGAGATGTTATTCTGGCATATCTAATTATCATTAATAATGGTATGTATTAATTTATCGTAATCAAACTTTTTTCATTTATTCGATTTTTTTTTAAATTGCTCAAAACAAAGATAATTTTTTTTCTTTTATACATATTTTATATATTATGTGTTGTAAAGTGTATAAAAAGAGAGAGGGAGAAATGTATATAAAAAAATTAAATATTTAAAATTAATTATTAGTTTAGCAAGTTTACATGTTGCTTAATATTAGATATAACAAAGTAAAACGTTAAATTCACTTATTCATGTCGCTTATCCATTTGTCCCTCTAATCGCCTAATTTTATATCCAGTCATAAAATTCGGTTTCTTCGTATCGATCCACGACAGCTGAGTGTAGGTCATCGCGTGCCTTGCCTGTTCGATATCAGCTGGCGCCGTATCAGCCTAGTTCCGTAGTCGTGGGATGCAACGGGTGCGCGTGCAGCGTTACGTCATAGAAGGGCGAGAAAACATGAACCAGACCTTTCCTCGATCGACGCTCAGATCAGACTTAAGTCTGATCCGATTATTTTAAATCTGTCATAAAATCGCAATTAAAATAATTATTCTTAATTTGAATTTCTAAAATATATACTCTGTAAAATAGTTTACTGGCCTCTAACACGCGATCTTTAATTGCATAAGCATGATTTCACGCTTTCATTGTTGCGTGTGTTAAAGTGCCCTAGAAGTTCTAGAATCTCGGAAATTTAAAGATTTCAGATAAACTATTTTACTTGCATTCTACTTTCATTCTTTGCGTACGAGATAAATATTGGTCTTTTTTATCTCAGGTGAAGCGATAACATGTTATCAATGCAACAGCGAGTACGACCCGAGATGCGGCGACCCATTCGATTCATACAGTCTGGGAACTGTGAACTGCAGCTTCCAGCCTCGTTTGGAACATCTCAGCCATTTAGAACCTACTATTTGCCGAAAACTCAGTCAAAGAAGTGAGGCTACTCTCATAAAGTTCTGTTTTTGCAATTCAATAAAAAAAAAAATTAATTAGATTCCATCAAAAGATCAAAAAAGAAATGTTTTGAATTATAACAAAAAAGATACACAGATATTTAATATTTCAACTTGATTAAAATGTCTATTGTGTATTTTAGCAATTTTATATTTAATTAATATATATATATATATATACAATATTTAATAAACTCGCAGCATCCTACATATATAACATTTTATAAATAATATATTATAGTAATGCAACAAATTTGTTATAGCTGTTATTATGTGCTCAATTCTAATAGTGCTATGTTAAAGTCTCTACATAGCCAAAAAAATCAGGCAATTGAGTCGTTAATAATAGAACGAGTTTGAAAGTAATAAAACAATATATCTTTTCTAAAGTTATACAGCTTAAAATTGTTAAATAATAAAGGAGTTTTTTCCAAAACAATTCCCTTAATCAATCATATATTGTTATAGTATACGGCAAGGTGAGGGTTGTCCGAGGCTGCGGTTACATCACGGACGAGAAGGACAACGGCGAGTGCCTTATGAGGTCCGGCACCCACGACGTGCGCGTGCAATATTGCTCGTGCACCGATGATCTGTGCAACTCCGTCGAGAGTCTCCGCACGCCGTCCTTACTGCCATTGGCGTCCCTCCTGACTGCCGTTCTGGCGATACCAAGTCTGCTGCTGTCGTGCCCGCCTCTCTCTCGTCAGCCTAATTCTGCCTAACAATTGATCGAATCGCACGTGAAGAGAATCCGAGTCAATCCAGCCGTCGTCGCGCCGCAAGGACCGTTCGTATATCGAGATACGCGATTAGATCAAAATCGCCATTTTCGATTATTATTGTCAATTTCGCTACGGTTTCCCCGATTGGAGAGGTTGATAAGCGTGAAGAAATCAACACGAGAAAAAATGCCGTTTTGATTTTCAGCCTAATCTTCTTATGGCCTAATCAAACCAGACAATGACCGGCACGTGACCACGTCGCTTCCACCGGATACTTTGCATTTGAGCTATCGAATTTTCTCTCTTTCCTGTCTCGAAATACCCGGATATCCGAACTATACAACGAATCCGACATCACTTCCTATATTTTTTGGCAATCGAAATTCTATCGGTTTCAATCGGTGAGTTTTAAAATTCTTTATATGTGCTTATATATACATTTACAAAAGCCTTAAAGAAAAATGTGAAACTTTTTATAATTCTGTTTTCTACATTTTTTCTATAGCTCTCCCTTTCTCTCTTTTTTTTTTTATTATTCTTAAGATTCTATTACAATTTCGATAAACTAAACTTTCCCCAATATGATAAATAAATATCGATTAAAATTCCCGACTTTGACTCGGCTCGAATGAATATGGAATGAACATTGAATACTCAAGAGTATCGAATATTCTGTATACATTGCATAGCTCTAATATCAATCGATCTGTGTATGAGATAGACGACACGCAATTGAAATTAACGATAGTATCTTGGGACAAATCGACAAAACAACAAATATCCTCATTAATTTTTTTCTCTGCGATAAAGTTCAAGCAAGTGAGATTATTTTTTCTGAGAAACAAAAAAATATGTTGTATGTTGAAAGATTAATTTTTTTTTAAAAAAAGAAATACGCAAAGATTTAAAATCATGGATAACTGTCATGAAAGATTAAAAAATATGGAGAGATTTATAAATGTCAAGTTGAAAAATAGATCTATAATATGCCTATTTGAACAGCTTTTGTTTTAAGATATAATATAAATTATTTTTATAAATCTATAGCAGTTTTTTTATTGTAAGACATGGGCTATTACTAATTTACAAATGTACATTTGACTCACTTTATTCTGTTATATATAAAATTTATTTTCTTAGTCTCACAATCGATATATAAATATCTCTAAACTGATAATCTCAAACTTGCTTTTTTCTCATCAAAGACAAAATTATTATACATTGCGCCACGGTTTTTCTCAAAGGATTCATCGAAGTAATATGGCATGTCTCTCAAAGGATATAGTAAACCTCTTAGGGAAATTTTCAAATCTCGTAGCTAGTAATCGGGTAGATTTAATCGACTCCTCGACAGTGTCTTAGGTTGCGAACGGTCTGCAAAAAATAGCCGGATTATAATGTAGCGTAACGGTGATAACTGCCAGATACGCGAAGGCGACACTTCAGTAGTACATATCTTCGCGAAAAAAAAAGAAAAAAGTAAGATAAAAAAGATAACACGGCCTCTGCATAAAAAGAAAATCAATCATCGGTGTCTTTCGTGTCTTTCGCTGATATCGCACTTGTCGCGCGATTTTTTGCCGGCTTTAATCAATTGTGTTAATTCAGCTGTCGAATAGAGAACTTCTAAATATTTTTTGCACAAGTAGATTAAGAGGAATCGATTAGGAATTTGTTCTGAAATTAATGAATTTTTTTTCAAAATATTATTTAATTTCTGAAATTATTATTCAACATGTTTAAGTAATATACAGTTCTTTTTTCACACAATCACACGATATTCTAAATTTTACAAAAATGATTTAGAAATTTATAAACGTTTGTAGAACGCATTTCTATCGATTCTTGTTAATTCGCTTACTTTTATATAGGACCGACCGAATGTTTTATTGCACGACAAGTGTATTATCGAATTAAAAACGTAGGAAAAGAGACAGGTATTTCTTGCGAGGAAATTTATGATTAGTGTAACAAAGAGTCTCATACACACAGTAACGTAAATACAAAGTAGCGGCATCGCGACACATTTCGCACCCCGCCTGCTACTCCTGAACATATGTGTGTTTGTGCATGAATGTTTCTGTATGAATGTATGTGTCTGTATGAATGTACGTGTGTGTATAATTATGACGTATGTATATGCACGCAAAAGAAAAAAAATATATATTTTGTTGTTGGAACAAAGCCGAAATGGAATTGCACGCGAGATTCATAGTCTTGCTTATTTCTAGAAGTGCAATATGTCACATAGCGTTTATGATGAAACGGCATATAATGCAGGATGCACCCGTTGCATTCGTTCAGTCTATACTTCAGGATTTTCTCTCATGCATTATTATTTAATTAAAATTTATTTTTTTATATAATTTACTGCGCTGTCGTGAGCAATTTTCTCCTGCAAACAGGGCATTCGAGATGTGACATCGGCAATACAATTCACGAAATATTAATGATATTTATTATTAAGTACATTCCCGCGAGAATGACAAGCGATAATATATCGCGGGGTAATAAAATACAGGGAAAACGATCAAGAATGAGATTTTACTTTTTCGGTGTATGCAGCGTTCGTTCGATATAATCGGACTCGGAATTGCAGTCATATTCCTCAATGTACTTGCGCTTACAGCCCCGATACACATGGTGGACGGCTGTGTTGGACATCGATGCGATTCTGCTCGCGTAGCTACCCATCCTTACGACGAGAATTTCTTTCACGAGGTCGTGCGTTCCCGTGAAATTGCTCCCTTTTTTTCGAACGTTGTCGTTGTCGTTGCCCTTTTCGAGAGCCACGAAACGAGCCCGTGAAACGCGTAGCGCGTAGGTGTACTTGTACTGGCAATGGGCGGAAGCCGATCGAGCCGTGAAAGACGCATGTAAACATTTGACATATGTAGCAGATCAGGGCCGGCATCTACGGGGGCCCCAGAATGGGGCTTTTGCCGCACGAAATTAAAATTTATCTTTATGTTTCCTGATATATAAAGCAAAATATTATTCTTCGGATACGTAAATAAATTAAATATTTAAGTTTTTTTTAATAATGTTAAAATAAAATAAAAATCCAAAGCTTTTGATACAATTTGTGATTATCAATGGAGCTTGGGGATAATTCGAAAGCACTGACACCATCACTTTGGACTATCCTGTATATAAGATACACCTGAATATAGGTTGACGTTCTCTGCACGTCTATAAGTTTGTTCTTTTTAGCATTCCCTCGTTTTTCCTTTCTTTCTTTCGAACTTCTAAATATACTATTCCGTTCTAATTCAGCTAAAAAGAACAAATCTTATAATTATTCATGATTCATTGTGTTTGCCCATTTCCTATTGAATTTAATTTTAATAAAATTTAATAAACATTTGTAATATGTAATATTATAATATATATGTAATATATATAATTTATAATAATATAATAATATATAACGTATATAGATTGATTTATAAATATAGTTGTGACGCATATATCCTTATTTATGCATGTATGTTGAAGGTTTTCCGTTTTTAATTATTTTACTGGTATAATGAATCTAATGCGCGCAAGTTTGCTTTTATAGATCTCGGGGATCAATAGTGATACGATAGTAAATAGAGAGAATTATGTTTCCGAAGTCTACTAAGCGCACCTCGTAATCGCGTCTTTTCTTATCTTATTATCGGATAAGAGCTAACCTAAAAAACGAATTGAATAAGATAGGGGCTAGTGGACCACCCTAAATATGGAATTGGTTGAAAAAAAAAGTGTAATTTTATTGCAACGACAAGAAAGATAATTAGACAATTCTTGAAATCGATAAACGTCAAAATGTGTGCTAGATAACTTTCTAGAATTGAAAATACTCTCTTAAAATACTCTCTTAAAAAAGAAACAAATATTGCATTGTATCTCTCATATAAATCTACAATTGTCTGTGTCGAACAGATTAACTTAACAGGTTGAAGCTACTTAAGAAAAAAAAATTGCACTGTGCCAACGAGCCGATCGCTATTGAATCGGATGATATATTGCTGTTACTTAATATGTTAATGAATGAATTGAAAATTTAATTTTATACATAACGTCGTATAATGCTGTAAATCACAGAGATGTTACGGCGAAATAGGTAATTATAAATATCAATAACTGTTATTGTCGATATTAAATTAAAAGTTATTTTAGAGTGTCATGATATACAAAAGATAAAAAGAATGTTAATTTATAAATTATGATTACTAATCTGTGAATTGTCAGTAAATCAATTTTCTATTCAAATAAAATAAGAAACTTGTCAATATAAATTTGCAACAAATTATTGATAATGTAATAAATATATTATTAATTAAAAACAAATAAATTGTTTTCTAATTGTTTTGTTTTAAAAATTCACAAATTGGCTGATATATATTTGATATATTGAGCCAATAAAATAGAATATAATTATAATAAATGATTTGATATATTGAACCAATAAAATAGAATATAATTGTAATAAATGATGAGTTAATATAATGATTGGTGTCTTCGATTTTTTATAAAAATTATAGAATTATTTTCTAGTAATATATTATGGAAGAATTAAGGAATTGTAGATAATTAATAAATTGTATTAAACAGGTTGAAGCACAGAATAATATCCATTGGTTTTATCATTCTTGCAACAGTATTTTACAATGAATTTCTTGTATATGAAGTACAAAAATTCAAATGGGCCATGCGCGAGTGTTCCGAATGTGTCAAGGTTCTGCTTGTCGCAGACCCGCAAATACTCGGGGAAAAGTATGAGAATTATTTTGGATCGTGGATAGCAAGATGGGATAGTGACAGGTATGATTCTGTTTCATCAATATTGATCTCAATTTTATTCTAAACCTTTTATTATGCTTTCAGGTACTTGGAGAAAACTTTTTCAAGAGCAGTAAAATATTCTCAACCACATGTCATTGCCTTTCTTGGTGATCTTATGGACGAAGGTCATATAGCTAATGCAGAAGATTTTGAAAGATATAAAAGGAGATTGGATTCGATATTTTCAATGCCGGAAGACATAATGGTATTTACTTTGATCACATAATATCTGTTCTCCTCATAAAGAGTTTGTGTTTTATTACTCTAATAGAGTTTATTTTATCGTTTTTTTTAGAAAATTTACTTACCAGGTGATAATGACATTGGAGGTGAAAATGATCTTGTCTCTTCCAATATCCATAAAAGATTCAATTTTGCATATACTCAACCAGATACATTAGTTTACAAAACTGTTACCTTTTTCAAGGTAAATCTGAAACTTTTATCTATATCTTACATATATCTTTGCATATTTAAGGAATAAATATGTGCGTGTGTGTGTATGTATTTTATTATAGGTAAATAGATTGACGCGTACGATGCCAGAAGCACCAAAGGATGCATTTCTTAATGATTACGCAGAAAGGAATACAACCAATGTTATTCTTAGTCATATGCCTTTGTTGTTTATGCCTGGCAGCTTTGTACAAAATGTATATATAATGTATATATTAGGAAGAGAAAAATTTATATATACACTTTTCAATTATTTACACTGCATTGCTTTGTTATAGGTAATCAAAGAATTATCACCACAAGTGATTTTCACTGCACACGAGCATAAAGCAATGCATGTAAGTTTAGACACAGCGACAGATCAGTTGAGCGAGATTTGGATTCTCCCACCATACCAAACGCCTCTCTATCAATTAAGAATGGATGTAGGGGATATTCACGAAGTACAAATACCGACCTGTTCTTACAGAATGGGTACACCACACATGGGTTATGGACTTGCCTATATAGGTATAGAAATAAATTTTCTAGGATATCGACATAGATAATTACATATGTGTATATATGTATGTATTGCAGATACTCAAGAGAAAACCGTTGAATTCACGATTTTATGGCTACCAGGCAGATTCCCGCAACTATGTGCTTACGTATTTATTGTTATATTGGTCATTGTACTTGCCACTTGTTCTTTCGTCTCAGGCTGTTGCGTGAAAAGCTATGCAACTTACAGTCGTATACCTTCCGTATAGAGTAGCATACAATCAAAAGTACTTATCATACTTAAATGACGAATTAACTTGGCGTAAATTAGATACAAAGATCCGTCCAGAAAATATGGTTTTCTTCTACTGTCTGTGTTAAGTTCCAACCAAAACGAAGCTATATATAATGATTTTTGATCAGTTACTATTTTAAAATAAGTAAATCAAAGTATGGCAGTTTCGATAAAACTTATTTTTATTAGATATCTATTTTCTGCATATTTTTTTAAGTTTTTGAAGTGCAGGGTACTTATAGGAAATTTTCTTTTCTAAAATTTTCTAGAATTACTTATGTTGAGAGTATATGCATCTTAATCATGCAGTATATGCTATGCAACTGAACAATATGATGTAAGGCCAAACTTATAATACTCTACTCAAAAACAGTGCCAGCTTTAGCAATATATCAATGCACTCTTTGAATAATATATGAATTATTAATTCAAGTAATTTGAGCAAATTTCTTGGCTTTATTATAAAAAATTGGATAAATTGCAAATACTGAATAATTTCTTATAACAATGTTTAATACAATTGGAGTATATATTATATTTGTGCTGATTTGGAGATCCTAAATTGACTATTTATTTTGTTAAACTCTGAAGCCAGGATACCACAAAAAGTATTATATATGTGTATTTAGTGATATTTTTCTTAGAATATCTTCAGGTTTTATTAGGAAATTTCTATGTGTAAACACGATGCCAAACTTTAACAAGACTTTTGCCACTGTCATTTAATCAAATAATTTCTCCTATATTGAATGATATAAAGAAATGTTTATTAAAAGTTTCGCCATGCAATGCCAAGAAAATAATAAAAGAAATCCGTCGATTGCACTTTCTTTTAGTTAAAGAGATAAGAAATTTTATCGTATCATATTTATATATATATATA